CTCAGCCAGCGTCCCTGGCTGAGGAATTCTGGGAGTTGAAGTCCACAAGTCATGAAAGGGCCAAGTTTGAAGACCCCTGACCTAAAGTATAAGGAAAGCATCAGAGAGAAAATTCACCTATATACTCACTAAGAGCCAACACAAATTTGATGGCACTTAAGTTCTTATGTAAACAAAAGTTGAAGTGGTACTGATTATCTTGACAAATAAACCTAATACCTTAAAGTAGTATCTACACACCATGTAGTAGTATTCAAACTACACCGATTTTGCATAAAGTCCACTGGTTTGCAACTACAGAGTTATTGCAATTTACTTTGATATTTCATCTTAAATATAAAACATGAAATTTGACAATGACATTAGAAATAAATTGTGCACTGAGTTTAAATTTTAAACCATTTTTACCTCAGAAAGAGCACTAAGGAACCACTGAAATCCAAGTGTATTAAAATAAGATGCTGGAGGTAAAGACTCCTTTGAGTCAAACTCAAAACCTGGAGACTATTTTATACTTTTATTTGTTCAATTTATATCCTGCCTTTCCTTTAGGAACTCAAGGTAGCAACGTGTAGCACTTCCTTCTCCAACTTTTTCCCTGCCACATCTCTGTGAGGTAGGTTGCACCAAAAGTGGTAGACCTAATCACTCAATGCACTGAGGATGGACTAAGAACCTAGTTTAACTTTTACATCAAACTAACTTCATGGTCATGTCCATATAGCTGTGGTGGCGAACCTATGGCACGCATGCCCCAGGTGGCATGCAGAGCCCTCTCTGTGGGCATGCACGCTGTCGCCCCAGTCCTAGGCCTTCAGCTGGGTTTTATAAAACCTTTTTGCTTTACGCCTCCGCTGCCGTGTACAAAAGGAAAAAAAAGGTTCAATCAATCAATCAATCAATTTCAACTTCTCGCAGGAAAAAAAATCTTGCAAAGTTGGAATTAATTGATTGAACTTTTTAGTCCCACCCAGTCTGCCATTACCATCGCAGCCATGCCCACCCAATGGGCCACACCCACCCAATGGGCCATGCCCACCCGGCACCTGACGATACATAGTGGGTTTTAGGTTGCAGTTTGGGCACTCGGTCTCTAAAAGGTTCGCCATCACTGCCATATAGTTTTCTTGACAACAGAATGAAAGTAGTTTGATGTTGCACTTAAATCTACAGCTCCAATATCGTTTGCTTCCAATCCAAATGCTCAGCTTTAGAGCTTACATAGTCAAGCATCTGCTGAGCTGCTATAGGTGTAAACAGGTTAAAGTTTTTATATAGTACAGACATCTAGGAAAAGGTTGCTGAAGTCACTAATCCAAGCTAGCTATTTCCAACATGTTCTGTTTACATCATATGTACTGTGTTACTTTTTGGTTTTCCACTCTACCAGAGTTAGGTAATTTGCTCTCTTTTTATACTACTCCATCCTCTTCTCCTGTAACAGCAGAGACTTATTATGCCAGTTCAGCTTCTTTCTCAAAGGCCGGTCCCAATTAGTGTTAAAAGGGAGTGAGAGATCTAGTCCTTGGCTTCTATTTTGTGATGTGTTGCAGGGCTCAATACTCTCTCCACTCCTCTTTAATATCTACATGGAACCACTGAGTGAGATCATCCGTCACCAAGGGTTGAGGTATCTTCACCCTGGTGACCCAAATGATGCTATGGCTGCCCTCTCGTGGTGCCTGGTGGTTGTGGGGACCTGGATGTGGTACAACAGGGTTCAGCTGAACCCTGGCAAGATTGAATAGCTTTAAGTGCATGGAGCTTCAAGATCCAGGACTTAAACTTCTTTAGTTTTGGATGGGGTGGCACTTCCCAGATCCAGTCCACAACTCGAAGAGCAGGTGGCAGTCATGGTTAGGAGACTCTTTGCACAACTTCATTTTGTATGTGTCCTTTCCTGGATCAGAAGTCCCTGAACTTAGTCACTCAAGCCCTAATTATCTCATGTCTGGAATATTGCAATATGCTCTATACCCTTGAAAAGCATTGGGAAACTAGAATCGCAAAGAGTACAGTGGTGAGAGCAGTTCTTAGGGTCCCTAGAGTGGCCCATGTTCCACCACTGCTTTAGGAGCTGCACTAGTTTGCTTCCAGGTGCAATTCCAGATGCTGGTTATCACCTTTAAAGCCCTGCATGGCATGGCTCCAGATCATCTGAGGAACCATCTCACCCTGGTAGGACTAGCCCGTCTCATCTGTGCTGGCACAGGGGGCATACTGCGGATCCCGTCAGCTAAGGAATTTTGGCTCGCAGGCTCCAAGAGAAGAGCCTTCTCTGCCCTGGCTTTTGTCCTCTGGAACATCTCAACCCCTGAGCTAAGATTGGCTCCCACCCTCCTGATGTTTTGAAAGAGCCTTAGGACCTGGCTCTGCAGGATGGTTTGGGGACCCAATGGGGGAGCTTCATACTGGAGGTGGTTGACTAATTAAAATTCAACCCCATCTCCCACCCTCTGAAATGGGTGGCAAAACTTCTGTAGTACCTGAAAATAAAAATCTGTATTAATATCCACTTCACTGCCTATAAAATGTACAATCTAACTGTTCAGTGCAAAAAGATACTACAGTATGTGGAATAAATTCTGAGAAGATATTACTAAACAGTCCCAACTGTAGTTCTTGGATTTAAGATTGAAACAATCAGTGTGCTTCTTGGACACTTTCAAAAAGTTCAATTATCTGCATATCCCCATTAACATTTTCTAGGAAAAGAAGTACCATATAGTTGACTCTGTAGTCCTAGCCTAACCAAATAATCACTTCATCCTGTTTTATCTTTCTCAAATGAGAACATCATAGATGACAAGTAGGAGAAAATGAGCAGAAAGAGCACAACAAAAGTAAAATGTTAGCATCTAAGGAAGAAAAGAAACATAGGCCATTAAGTTGAAGGTCTAAAGTAACTTCTGATGCCATCAGGTGAAATGGCACTTTAAGCAATCCTGGGAAGAAAGAAAAAAGCTTGTTTCCACCAATTCTATTAAGACTGGGGTTCCCAACCAGGGGTGCTCACACCCCCTGGGGGTGCGAGACGATATTCCAGGGGGCGCGAAAACTTGGATTTAGAAGTTTCAAAATTATAGTGCATATGCATAACCAGGTATTAATTTTGTAAGGGGTGCGAGAATATATCAGAAGCGTTCTAGGGGTGCGGGGTATAGAAAAGGTTGGGAACCGCTGTATTAAGAGTTCATTTCATCATATTATTTCTTTCTCACAATAGCATCTCTCTCATAACTCATGTTTTAAGCGGCTTTTCATTCAAAAGGGACTGAGCTAACCCCAGGCCCGAATAAAGTCCACATAGGGCTTTATCATATATTTGGGTCTCAAAAACAATTAAAAAATCCGCAAACCTATTTTTTCCGGGGCAATCTATTTTTTCTCTTTCTTGGAGAATTGTGCTTAAATATGCTTATTCCTCTGTTTTGTTACTACTCTAAAATCACCATAGTATGCTGTCTAGACCTGCACCACTCCCCATTATTTCTACTAAACAGAAGGCAGGTATGCAACGCTGCCTGTACTCCAACGCTGTTTGCACGTGTCTTAGTGTGCATTCTTGTGGAACAATGTAGGAGTGATCATCTGAAGCGGCTTTTTTTGGGGGGGGGGGGAAATGCCAAGGTTTTTAGGAGGGTGCCGCCCTCCTGCTATGGCCGCCTGGGAATCCATGCTTTTTGCTTCGTATTGTGTCCAGAACCTCAAGTTCGCCGATTTTTCCCCCACCCCACCAGAGCGGACAGCTGGAAAAAGCATGCCTAAAGCAAAGCATTTTTTAAATTATTATTTTAAACAAACACCGGACGTTCACGGCTACCAATCGAACCCGACGATCAAGGCCGGGACTGGGCTACGCCAACAGCCCTACCCAACCCGGATCCGGCCGGTTGCTTTTAAAGCACCGTTATATCCGAAACCAGAAGGCCCCGAAATCTTCCGGATCGGAATAGGCAGAAAAGCAATAGCCCGGAGATTCCCGAGATCTGGCCGAAGAGCCGCCTCGGCGAGATGAAAAGGACCGGAGTTTCTTCTGGAGCAATCCTCTTGCAAATTAAGGAACGAAACCTCCCGCCCTCCTCCTGGCCTACTCACCGTCGTTGGTCTGCCCCATCTCGATGAGAGTCTCTTCATTTTGCTTCCCCGCGCGGTTCATGGCTGCTGGGAAGCGGCTCGCGGGAAAGGCTGAGCAAACCAGCCCGGGGATCCAGCGGGCAGGGTCAGACGGGAAAGAAACGGAGGGGCGGGCCAGGCGAGGCTGGGCCAGGCGCCAGCGCGCGCCACCCCTCTCCCTTGTCAAGTCCTCCGCCTCCCGCTTATCTGCCTTCCCGGGAAAGCGGCATAATTAGTTTCTGTCCAGGGACTGTGGAAGGAGATGCCGAGCGTGGGCGGGGGAGGATGGCTCAGAGTTCTTAAAAAGGGGAGGATCTACAGACGGAGGGCCGGGGAGGGGAGGGGGAGAACGGAGAAGTCGAGGAAGAAGCGAAGGATTGGGGGGAGTCAGGGTCTGCGCGCGCGCGCCCTGCCAGTGTGCAGTCTCGGATTACCCGAGAGCGTGCGTCACGGTGCGAAAGGGGGGAAGGCGAAAAGAAAGAAGCGCCGCGGCTTGGCGTTTACTTCGCGCTGTTTTGCTCGTCTCTCTCTCTCTCTCTCTCTCTCTCTCTCTCTCTCTCTCACACACACACACACTTTCTGTCTCTGTCGCTCCTCCACCCTCTTCCTGTTGAGTCTTTGGGTGCTGATGTTGCTTTGTGGGTGGATCTCTCTCTCTCTCTCTCTCTCTCTCTCTCTCTCTCTCAAGCCGGTTCATCCTCACATTTCTATTGGCAAAGTGAAGTAATCGAAAGATTTGAGCAGTGGCTGGTTTTCCAGTTCTTCCTTCTGTAAGGTTTTCCACTTAGCCTCACAACTGCCCCAGCATTACTCAGGAATTTAAAAGAGCCAAAGAAACTCCTGAGTCGAGGTTTCAGCAAACAACTTTTATTTTGATCAAAATAGAGTTGGGTGACCCCCATCTCTCTTCGTGGCTGGTAGAGAGGTGAAGGCAACAACCAGAAAAGATGTCTTCCACCTTTTATACCTTTCCAGAACAAAAAGATCAGGTCTTGGTACTAGGCATAAGATGGCACAAAAAAACAATTCTTAGATGATAACTCATACACAGCAACCCAGGCTCCATCCGTAACTCCTTTCCCCCCTCCCCTTACTGTGCTCTTTTCATATAAGCAATCACCTATACCTAAAGCATGAAGCCCTTACTTTTCCAATATATATGTATAAAGCATCTGATCAAGCAATTAACTACAAAATAATGATTACAAAATAACAAAACAATGATTACATGATAACACTATAAGTATCAATATAAAATGGTTACTATATGTAAAATAAATGCTAATGTCAAACTTAAACATACTAAAATCATAAGCACAATAAAATCCCTTCACTTCCTTTCAATTCTTTCTGCTTCTCAAAGTGGAGAGAGTTTTGTGGGGGTTTTTTTGTCATGTGGCTCTTTTGAAATTTTATGTTGATGAGTTCATTCTTGATAATCCGCAAAAGCGACTCAAAGGCTCTGCTATATATAAAATACTTTGAGCTACTCACCATTTTTCTTGATTAGCGCACCTCAAAGGACAAAGTGTGACTACTAGAAGTAGTCTAGTATTCCACTATAGCATACTAGAAGTAGATTACATAAGACAGCTCTTCAATTACAGTTTACAATAGGCTAAAAACATTTTTTGTGTTAAAGCCTTGTAAGATAACCTGAACCTTTCTGATATGTGTGAGTCCACCAATCTTGCACTCTATAACACTGGTGTGATTTCCTTATTCTAAAATACCGATGCGTGTCCTGGGAAGCTGGAATGCTATTCTATTAACTCTGGCCTTGTTATGAGTCATGAATATAGTAAACTTGATTTAAGATAAAAGTTATTACCCATACAATAGTAGGTATCATTCAATTAATTGCTTTTCCCTCTTCAAAGTTGGAATGAGGGTTTGGCCAAGGAATAGAAAGAAAGGTGCCCATAGCTTTTCTGCCCTGCTCCAAATTTCTAATTAAACATATTTTGATTTTTCCCCCCTATTATGTATGCTATGATATGTATCTGGGATGAAAGAATCTAGTATTTTTGTCCCATTAGGAACAAGAATATGCAGGGGTAAAATATTTCATATTGATTGCTACAAATGTGACATAGGAATAACTAAGGCAGTTAGAGTAATATAGAGGACCGGAAGAAAACATTAGAAAAAAACTTACATTGACTTTGCCTTAAAGCTCTTAGTTATAAAAAGGAAGGGGGAAAACTCAGGCTTTCAAGGCCCAGAACGGACTTCCGGAAGCGGCATCCACACAGAGAACCGGTTGTTCACATATTTGAATCCCACCACTGGCCTATATTAATAGTATTCCACTATTCTTGAAGACTCTTGTTTCCTGGTTTGTGATCTTGAGGAGCTGGCAATTGTTCTAACAGCATAAAATGTTACAAATAACACAATATAAACCTTCTGCTACTGTGCAACTATATTTAATAGCAAATGGTGTTTATGTCTACCTCTGAAATATATAGCATGAAACTCAGAACGGTGGATCTTCAACAAGCAAATAAGTACATGTTCAGATTGGCCCTATTTATATTTCCTAGATCAATATCATTTTTAATTATATGAAACAAAGGTAAAGAACATTGTTTGACAACTTCAGTGCACAGCATGATGAAATAAGGCTGGAATTATAAAATGTTAATTATTAAATGAAGTGATAAAAACAGTATGGGACTTTATAGATGTCTTACAAGCCAAACATAATTTAAAGCACTCTTAACTTTCTGATTGTTTTAAGAGAAGTGTGTAACATTTACTTAACCTGCAGTTCCAAGAGAGTTCATAATTTGAATTGTCAAAACATATCACAAGTACAAACAAAGTAGAAAGATAAAGATCTATTTATTTTGACGATCTTCAAAAGGAAAATAAATCCTATATTGTGACTTTATTTCATAGAAGAATATGTGGAGTGATTGGCTCAAATCTCTTAAAAGTATATCTAGCCCCCAGTGTTTGTGAACTCTGGTCACGGGTTATTTTAAAAATATATAAGAATGTGGTAAGTGGCCTTGGATCAAATCAAGATTCTTCTGTAGGCTACCATTATGTGGCCAGCAACAGCTTACCAGCTGCATCTTGGAAGCTTATAAGAGGAATATGGTGCAATATATAGCTCCTCTGTCTCTGGTATAGATTACTTCTAAATTTAAAGTTTTCTACAGCTGTTTGTAAGTCTGTGAGTAATGGGTAACATTTCCAGTATATAATCTTTTTTTTTTTAAACAAACTTTATTGATTTTTTTCCCCCCCAAAATAAACAAACATACAATTATGGCATAAGTCAATAATACAATTAATAAAAAAAACAAACCAAAAGAAACCTCCCATTCTAAGATGCTCAGTAGCCTCACAGGAACACATTCCCTCTCTTCAACCTACTTCCCTCCTTCCTTCTACCTCCTTCCCTCCTCTCCACCTTCTCAACCACTCTACTCTACACATCCCCCCTCCTTCCCTCCTCCTCTTCCAAATGTGGTCCTGTCGGTCAATCGAGCCTCCATTCTTGTACT